CTTGAAAATATTTTATCTTCTCTGTTTAAGTTTAGGGTTGATTTTTTTTTTTTTTTTTTTTCAGTTGAGAGAAGAAGAAGAGACAAGATCAACAACTGGATCGTCACGTTGTCGAAGCTGATCCCAGACTGCAGCCAGGACACCAGAACCGGAGCGGTGAGCGTCCCGGAAGCAGACCCGTTTTTTTCCCTGACGTCTCAGTAAACCGTTTTAATCCGAGGAAACTTTGTGTGTCTCTCAGAGCAAAGGAGGCATCCTGTCCAAAGCCTGCGACTACATCCGAGAGCTCCGTCAGAACAACCAGCGGCTGCAGGAGAGCTACAAGGAGCTGGAGCGGGTGGAGATGGACAACGAGCTGCTGAGGCAACAGGTGGAGTCCCAGTCACACTGAACGAAACCGGGATCGATCCATCAGAACCTGTGGAGGTTCTGATCCCTCTGAGCAGAACAGAGCTGCTGCTAGTTTGCTTTAAATCGGCTCTAGATTACCTGTTTCTATGCAGCACTGGCTCCAATGTGTTGATGTTAAGTTAAGGTATGGAGAGAAATTTGTTCCAATATTTTTGAATACTTGAACTTGAATAGAACAAGTTGCTGGTTTAAATTCTCAGTCATCCAGGTCATAATTATTCCAAAAAAGTAAAAAAAAAAAAAAAATCAACCCACTGGACTTTGGTTCCAAGTTTGAAGACGTTTCTCTTCCCATCCAGGAAGCTTTTTCAATTCCAAATTACAGAAATGGTGTTGAGTTCCAGGTTTTATACAGGTATGGAGCATCGCAGGCTAACAAAGAAGCCAAATGACCCCCCCCCACGTTCATCCGTTTCTATTTGCATGTTTTCTAAAACAAAAACAAGTCTTTGTTGGGCTGCTGGATAAAGCCTGGAACTCAACGCTATTTCTGACATTTTAAATTGAAAAATCTGTAAATGTGAAAAAAAAAAAGTTCAGAAAACTCAGTCACTCCAAAATAGCAACAAAAAAAAAGGAAATCTAAAGAAAAAAAAAAACTGAAATAAAATATGAAAAAAAACATAAATTTCCCTGGAAAACTTTTTTGTTTTTTAATCGACTTTGCTTTCAGTAATATTGGAACAAATGTGTCTCCGTATCGGGGCGGCTCAGATGAACGGCGTTTGGCGTTAAACCTCTGCTATCTTTCAGATCGAGGAGCTGAAGAACGAGAACGCTCTGCTCCGCGCTCAGCTGCAGCAGCACGGCGTGGAGGTGGGCGGGGACGAAACGCCTCAGTGAGCGCCTCGGACGCGGCGGCCCAGAGGCTTCCATCAGGATTTGGACCGCGGGGAGAACGGCGCACGGCTCCGACCTTCTGCTTTAAAAAAAAAAAGACCTAAAGGAACAACAAAAAAAACTCCTCCTCTTCCTCGCCTCCGTGTCCGACTGATAAATTGACCTTTTTATGTGTGAAGCTATTAAATGTGAGAAATGACCAACGGCTGCCGCTGTGATCGGGGGGGAGGAGCCTCTCTCCTAAACTGCTCCCGGCGGCCCTGATGAGACGAAGGTTTTTAGTTTTTAGATGAAGGCCTGATTGACGCCTTTCTGTTGACGTAGCTCAGGTAGCAGGATGTGGAGAACCTGCACAGAGACGCAGCGCACTCTGCTGGCTGGGAGGGGAGTCACAGGATGTTAAACGGCGCCGCTCCGCCAGCCGCCTGCTGCTCCAGGATGGAAGCGTTAACCCTGACGACTAACGAGCTTCTGTTTACTGACCCCCCCTCCCCCACCGGGACGTATAACCACTGGCATGATGCATTCTGACACAATAAAACAAACGTATTTATATCCGAGTGCTGTTTGTCTCCGAAAGCGACGGAGGTTTTGGAGAAACGTCCTCTGGTCTTAAGATGAAGTGAATGTTTGAACTTTTGCATCGTTTGTTTCTGTGTTTAAATAAGGAGGAGCAGAAATTCTGTCTGACTCCACCCGCCTCTCCCGTCCTCGCAGACGGGTTCTGGTCCAAACGCACCTTTGGCTCTTCACAGGTCATGAGGTCTGAGCCCGATGGTCTCATACGTTCCACCAGGATCACTGGTCCATCGGCTGCAGAGGAAGCCCACATCATCATCCCTTCCACACCGTGCTCCTTAGGTCCTTCCAAACATTTTTTCTGTCCTTCTTCAGATGCTGCTTTGCTGACCTCAGGTCTGCCGCCATCTTGCTCTACAGAGAGGAGGCTTTCTGATTCTGGGTCATGACCTTTGACCTTGGTCATTTCTGGGAAGTTAATGCTCAAAAATTGGGCTGAAAGTGTTGGGATGTGAACTGGAGACTGACATTTTTCCGGGAATCCCACGGGTCATGGGATTCCCGTGGGATGGGAGTCAGTATCAGTAACGATCACATGATTGGGACGGTACAGGATTAAACCTTAGCGGGAGCAAACCAATAGTAACTAAAAAAAACTAGGATAGAAGAAAACAAATCCAGTACTGGTGCCGCCATTTTGTAGTTTTTTTCCCTGAAGCCTACACTAAAATGCAAGTCAAAAAAAACTACACAGCCCAAAAACCATTTATAATTATTATTCCTTTTACTTTAACTGACCTTTACTACAGTTAGAAACAGGAACTTAACTGAACCTTCATAGAAATTCAGATTCAATGTTTTGGCAGAAATTTTATTGAAAACAACAAGAATGGGAGTGGGAGTAACTTCACCAGGAGTGGGACGGGACAGGATTTAGATTCCTACTCTGGCCCTGGATCGGGACGGGACACCATTTTTTTCTGTGGGAGTGGGACGGGACAGGAGTGAAAATCCACTCCCATGTCAGTCTCTACTGTGCGTTACTGGGGAGGCTGGCAGCTGAGAGAGCTGTTCTCTCTGCAGGATGATGGGCATCAGATGGTCTTATAACGCCTATATATATATAAACACCAAAAGTCAATCATTTCCTTAGTGTCGTATCGGACGGGGCCCCGCTACTGCCCTAAAATGGTGGTATCAGTATCGGCGAGTACCAACTAATGCGGCACCGATACCATTTTGAGAGCCTAAAGTTTCTTCCACTAGTGTCACCCATTCCAGGTAGGAAATAAAAAGTTCTACTGGATTCTCTTTGTTTTAGTCTTTTTCCTGCTTCACAAAGGAAGGCAGCAGCTTGACATGAAGCCATGATGGTGATTATTTTACATCCTAGTAGTCTGCAGTTCTTCATAGATACACACACATTCAAATTGATGGTATCAGCCGATACTGCACAGCCAGGTATCGGGGCCAAAAAATGGCAATGGAGAGAAATCAGAAATATTTATTCATACTTGTTCACGTTCAAAGCAGGAGGCTTCATCTAGAAGATGATGATGTTTGTTCATCAACTCAGTTGTCAGGATTTTATCAAAGAAAATGAATTTAGAGGATTTATTCTCACCAGAGACGTTGAGGAAACATTTTTCAGAGTCTACGCCTCCATCAGTCTCCACATCACAGACATACAGACCAGAGTCTTCAGTACTCAGAGAGACTGGCACCTCAACACCATCATGGACATGAAAGACGACTGGATGTCTTTTAGAAGTAAAGAAGCTGCAGATGACATTCAACTGACTCCAGGATCCATGAGGTCTGGTGGTGAAGGTCCACTCCAGAGTGATGTTGTGCTTCTCTGCCTGATAGGAGCTCTGAGTCACATTCACTACAAATGTTGCTGCTGAAGAGACAGAGAGAGGAAGAGAGCAGCAGACACACTGAGAACTAGGACTGGGATATGGCCAAAAAAATAAAATCTTGCTTTTTTTTGGTCATCTTGGACGATTACAATTTTGATTGATTCTAATTAAAGAATTAAAAACTATATGCATCTATTTGAAAATTGGTTTACTTTATTAAAAATATATTGAGCACAACATCCATCACAAGCTTCTTCTGTATGCAGATATGTTGGTCATTCTAACTAAACCTGAAGAATCTGTTCCCATTTTATTAGATTGTATTGAAGATTTCACATTATTGTCTGGATACAAAGTAAACTGGGATAAGTCTGAAGCAAAGGCGGTTCTAGACAGGGGCCAACGGGGGCCAGTGCCCCTGTAGATCATGACCTGGCCCCTGTTATGGCCCCTGTACTTGAAGACATAATACTCAAAGAAATTTTAATGATGATATGCGCTGGAACAGACATGGTTACTGATAGGTCCTTTGGATCCATTTCAGTTTTTTTCTTTACAAATTCTGTTTTACTAATTATTTAAAAACAATAAGGTGATAACTTCAGTGGTATTGAGATAGAATTCCAGTTTTAATCTGCTAAAGTTTTTTTTCAAAGCAAATAAAAAAAATACTCAGCTGAATTTATCCGTTTTTCTTGAGTTCTAATTCAGATTTTATAGAAAACGTTATTTTTAACTTAAATTATGTCAAAATATGTAAAATTCCTAAATTATGAATGTATATTGACCTAATAAGACATAGAATTTTAATTAAACCTAACTAAATCGAATTTTCACTTCATACAGTTACTAATATATTTGAATCCCTTGCCCTGTTTTTTTATTACATATATTTCTGTGCCCCCATGAAACACGCCGGCCCCCCTGGTACATTTGGTCTAGAACCGCCACTGGTCTGAAGCTATGCCCATGTCTGGACACTGCCCCTCCTCTCTATATAAAAACTGGAGATTCTGTTAGTCTACCAAAAGTATTAAATATTTGGGCATACAGATCAACTCTGATTATAAGAATATGGTTAAAATTAATACCGGCCCATTGATTGGAAAAATAAGAACTGACTTTGGTAGATGGTCTAAAATTCACTTGTCCCTGTTGGGAAGGATTAACTCTATTAGGATGATGACAGCCCCAGTTGTTTTCTATCTCCTCCGTAATATTCCTTTGTATATTCAAGACTTTTTTCAAAGAGCTAAATGCCTTAATATTGGATTTTCTATGGGGTAAATCCCATCACCGTCTGAGTCTTAAAAAGTTACAAGCGAGTCCTGACAGAGGTGGTTTTTCCTTACCTAATAAAAAAAAAAAAAAAATGGCAATGGAGCGATATATATATATATATACAGTAATTAGTTTTATCCAGACAATTCATTTCTTTGTGGTTGGACTCGGTGCTGCCCCAACTTGTTGCTCACCACATACCAAAATAAAATAAATAGTTTTTCCAGATGATGCAAAGTTAAATTTGGCACCATTACCATTAGTTATAAATAAAGTTTAAGGAAGTTTTCATCCAGAATTGTAGAAAATTGTTCCTTTAATAGAGTAGAGCAGTAAAGCTTCTGGCCTTAACATTTATTGCTGCTTTACTTTTACTTTTATACTTTAAGTAGTTTTAAAAATCTTACTTTTAAACTTTCACTGGATCCTCTAACTTCTACAAACAAACTTTTATCCAGTAGGATTTAGAATAGAGGAATAAACATTAATACTTTGACACCTCGGGTCTCAGACGGATAATTAAAACTCCTTCCTGTTTTGCTGCGTTGCCTGGATACGGCTTCGTTCCTGTTGCTATGGAAACGCCTACCCGGGACGCGGAAACGAAGCGAAGAGAAGTTTCTGGATCGCCGGTGAGTAAAAAAAAATGCTGAAAATGAGCCGTTCGGGTCCAGTTTAGGAGGATTGTGGAGTTCTGGGAACCGTTTGGACCCAGAAGCTGTTCAAATGAGGGAAGTTCCGAAAAGTCCACTTTTCAGGTCAGGCTCACTAAAATATTATTGCTATTAACATTTACCAAACATGAATCAAACCACCAAGAACTGAACAGAGAGACTGAAAGGTCTGGTTCTCCTGAAGAAAATTCAAGCAAGTGATGAGTTTGTACGGAAGCCCTGAAAGGCCGGTAAAAAAAAATAATTAAAAATAATTACAAACCGAAATATTATAGTTGTTTTTTTTCTTTTTTGTTAAGGCAAATGGGGGAAACGGTAAAGACTAGAAAAATAAATAATTAGTGTATTTTTGTTTTATTGAGCCCTGATCTTTAAATAAAAAAAGGAAAATCTTATTTCCAAAGTGTTCCTGGTTGTTATTGTAACACTTTGCTCTGCACGAGTAAACCCAGAGATATTCACTTAAAGACGGATTCTTCAAATAAACAGTCAAAGGGATTGTTCCTCAAAATCCTGGTTTCTTATTTAAATAAGATTGTAAAAAAAAAAAAAAAAATCTATTATATTGGAGGCACATAAACTGCATTTTTTCTTCATGTTATTTTGGTATCATGCTGAGCTGATGTTTTCAGCTGCAATATAGAATTTATTTTTTATTGACAATTTGCTTTTCGCGTAACTGACACCTCAAAAAATATTAAACAGTGAACAGAAGATACCAAAGCATTTGGTTAATATCAGTGAACTTTACAGCATGATTGGGTCAGAGATGTTCACAGGTTCACTAGTGACCTTACCTTCAAAGATTCGCCTTGAACTGGCAAATCTCTCTGTTTAAAGCAGTCTGAGATTCTGGACCTGAATCAGGAAACTTTCAGGAACCCGAACCGCCTTCAGAACCTGTGGTCTGTCCTCCAACAGGAGGAGGACGGGGTGAACATTGAAGTATTAGAAATAAAAGGTTCACACCATAAACGTCTGATACTTAGACCTAAAGCTTTAAAACAAGCCAACCTTATTTTTGAACATCAGTGTCTGAAGAACATCTGGTAAAATGGAATCTAGGCGGAAGTTCAACTGAAGAAACTAATTGCTTTCCTTCATCCCACTGCGACGCATCAGTTTTGAACCTTGCCTCCACGACAGCCAATCGGCATCCGACGTTAATCTTAAAAGGCCTCCGATACGCACCTGTCTGCTCCTCGTTTCAACCCCCNGTTGTTCAGCATGGGGGTGAGTAGAAAATGAAGGCTAATCATGTTTTGGGTGTACTATTCCTTTAAATGGTCCGGCAGAAGACCGCCATGTTGATTCTGGTTCTGCCAGAGGTTTCTTCCCAACAGGGAGTTTTTCCTCTCCACTGTCGCTTCATGCTTGCTCATCTTGGACAGGTTCTCTCAACTTTCTAGTATCAGCTCACGCAGTCCTCTGGATCTCCCCATAAAGCTCAGCAGACCGTCTCTCCAACCAGCAGTCTACAGACTGACCAACTGCATCTATCTCCACTCCGCCACCAGTTTCTTTGCTTCTGTTCATTCATGTCTATCATAGTTAAGCGCTTTGTTTCCTGCCGAGGTCTGAGCGCCAAAGATAAAGTAATTGTATCAATAAACTTCTCCTAATTGACTTTTCTCATCGTGTGAGTTTTTCAGATTGAACTTTTTACTAGATCTATAAACATCCCTTTATATCTTTGTTCTGCTGTCCGCTAACCCAAATGTGCAGCTAATCATCTGAAGGTTCTGTATTCAGGATATTCAGTTTCTGAATATTTCCACATCAGAAGCAGGATGTCGTGGAAGCCCAGCCCGCGGTTCGAGGTCTCTGAGTGGCGCAGAAACAACCAGCAGCTGTTCGACGCGGCTCAGCAAGAGCGGCACCTTTCCCAGGAGGTCCGACAGGAAGGCCAGACGCTCCGCAACGAGACCCACTTCAAGGTGCGACGTCACTCTCTGAAGAAACGTTTTAATCAAAAAAGGTTTTAAGAGTTTCTGTTCACTGAGATTTTTATTTTATTTTTCAATTTGCGATGAAATGCGATCTGTAAATTGTAATTTGAAAAGAATTCCATTTCTAAACCTCAATCTGAAAAACAGAAATAAAATAAATAAATAAATAAATAAATAAATTTGAAAATATAAAATCGGAATAAAATATGATATTTGAAAAAATTAAACAATAGATTTAAAACAAACTGAGAAAACAGTAAATTTACTCT